GTTAGGGCGGCTAGGAGCTGGAACCAACTTCCAAGGGAAGTGGTGCTGGCCCCTACCCTGGGGGTCTTTAAGAAGAGGCTGGATGCCTACCTGGCTGGACTCATTTGAGTCCCGTTTCTCTTTTTGGGGTTTTTTGTTGTTCTCCCGCCCTGGCGGGGGGGTCGGGCTAGAAGATCTACTAGGTCCCTTCCGACCCTTAATCTATGAATCTATGAATCTATGATTAAAAACCAACATTTTCATGAGTTCTCATCAACTGGAAATTCCAGGCGAATGTCAATTGTGAAACACTGACACGATGTTTCTCCAGTGAAAACAAACAGGCTCAGACTCTGCAGCTGCTTTATTGTCACTTTCCCAGCTACCAGCAGCTCTGAAACTGATAGTCTTGTTTATTTTACCAAGAAGCTGCCGGGTGTCCCAAGGTCTCTGGTTCTTGGCTACATAGCAGAAAGTCTGGAAGTCCTGGTGTGGCTGGCTCCCTTGGAACCAGACTGCAATCCCAGGTGCCCTAGGCTTGGAGCAGTCCTCCTGTCCCACAGGTAGTGACCCCAACATCCCAGGGTCCATTTAAGATCTAGGTGGGATTCTGTGGGAGCACTGCCCTGCAGTCAATGAAAGCTTGTCAGAATGAGGATGTTTTAGTGGGTTTAGTAAGTCAGCATTTTCCAGCCAGCCTCACTTAGTAACTGGCAGTTCAATTCACTGCAAACATAAGAAAAGCAAAGTATCGCTGAAAGCATCCAGAGCATTGCAAGTGACTGAGCTTGGCTCACTGCATCTTTGGTCAGGGGAAGTGAAAGACAGCTGGGGTCACTCCTTTTGATTACTGTATTTGGGAAGGGGATAGAGGTATGGAGCAAGTTGATGTCTGGACCTGATCCCAAACCCCCAATCCAGGGGCTCAGGGATTAAGCACTAGTTCAGCCCTTCACCAGGCTACAGCTTGTGAAGGAAAGCAGAATGGCAGGGAAAGGAGCCCTGCCAGGGACAGGCCTTCTAGTGTTGACCCCTGATTTCATAGATTTCATAGACATTAGGGCTGGAAGGGACCTCAGAAGATCATTGAGTTCCTGAAGGGCAGGAAGTCAGCTGGGGTCATAGGATCCTCCTACCTATATAAGGGTAGCTGTTTCTGCGGAAACTGTTTGGACAGCAAGGTTTCTGCTATCTTTGGACCACCCTACTGTTTCTTTGCATCTGTGCCCTGCTTCTAGAGATGTGACCACCTGTTGCTGACCCTTCTTGGGCCTCTGCCTTGTGTCTTGGATTGCTGGAATTTGGCCCTTATAGCATCTGGCTTGCTCCCTGACCTTGCTGTGCCTCGTGTTTTGGCTCTAGCTTGGATGCTGATCCTCTGATTTTGACCCTGGCTACTCCTTGGACCTTCAGCTAATGGTGTGTGTAAATCACCAGTCAGATGGCCTG